ACTACACATATAATTTAACTTTAACATTCCCGTCGGACATTATCACACAACAAAAAGGTTTCGTAAGCTTGTTAACCAAAACATGACCATTCACGTACAACAAGCAAGCAAGAATCTTTAAGCACCGTCGATGTTATCGGTCAGCAATTCGCCATCTTAAGGCGCTATACAAGAAATTGGTCGTACATTAAAGTATATCTGGTCCATAAAACACCGGCTATTGCGGTCGGACCGGTGCGGTGTGGCACCTCTCCTTTCTCAATCCGGACTTCGCACCTCTCACTCGCTGCACTCGACCTCAGATGAGCTACAGCTACGCGAACGAGCGTGAGGTTATTACTGTTTTACTGATGAGGAATGTTCTGATTTCGACGATAGCAAATATTTCATCGATAGTAAAAACTACCTCATGAAAAAGGGGATATATCAGAAACTGGGAATTTAAAAATACTTAATGGCTTTATATAATGAAAGAATTATTTATTGGGCCTAACCTTACAAAAATACGGCCGGGACACGTAGTTTAGAACCATATTTTTACCATTTTTTTTTTCTAAAAAACGTTACCCTCGCGCTAGGATTTTATCTTGTATCTTGAAGGCAGTATATATATGCATATGTAAGCGCCGACACATGTGCATGTGGCGGTGCTGTATGGCGCCACAAGCGAAACGCACCGAAGCCTGAATCACGATATCAAAATTTCGAGGTACTGCGGGTATTATATAGAACTGCTTTGCGGTATTCATAACACAAGCCTTTGTATTATAAAAATTGTGTCATATAATAAATTGTTGGGTTTGATTTAATTTTATTTTCTTCTTTTTAGAACATTTAAATTTAAATAAAAAATTAAAATGTTCTTTTACTATTTTATATTTTTTATTTTATAGTTATCACTGGAAATGTTTCTGACTATGTCCATTTCATTTAATGGGTCATTGATTTGATCGCCATCATAGATCCACCATTTAGAAACTTTTTTTCTCGCCAGTAGTTGAGCCTTGTCGTTCACCATTTTATTTTCGTATTTTCTCACTAAACCCTTTCATGTGATGCTCATGGGGAGTGCATAGAAATAAACCAGTCCGCCATATTGTGCGGTCAAACATATTGGATTAAAAATGACGTCACTTAGCCAACCATGCATTGTCATCCAAACTAAACATCATCAAATGCAGAAATCATCCGGTCAACACACTGTTTTTGTGTTAAACCACTTCGAAAGTCATAATAAATTATCGCTCTTGAATTTTCTCGAGTCAATTCCATTTTCTCAACGACAAAACAAGTTTGACAAAACCTTGTGACAAGACCGAGAATCTTTTTTTAAATAAATAAATGGTATTCGATTTTTAAAACCAAGGAGTTTTCAATTTAAAAGATTTTAATATGACAGGAACAACGGAAATATTCCATTCCCGATACTTTTAGTGCAGCCTAGTAGGTCTAGGTAGAAACTACCCTCTTACCTATTAAATTGTGCCGTTAAATAGTCACTGCTCTGTTCATACCTGTAAGGTAGAGCCAGTTTCGATACAAGCTGTGAATCATTTTGATTTAGTCTTCAGAGCTGACAACAGATCACGTAGCTTTGTATGACGTTGGTTACAGGTGTCCTTGAACTGCAGTAGCCTATAACTATCTGGTAGACTGTAAGTTTTACACTTGTTCTACAAAAAATATTGAAATATTACGGTGAAATATTGTGATTGATTAATATAGTTTCGAAAAATTCCCTTCACCTGCCCGCTGAAACCAAGGTGCAGGCGAGATGCAGCCGTAGAAGTTTCTTGATATGCGTTAAAAAAATCCGTTTTAATATCAACCTTTTTTTATAGAAGAGGGGGCAAACGAGCACACGGCTCACCTGATGTTAAGTGACTACCGCCGCCCATGATCAACCGCAACACCAGGGGAATTGCAGGTGCGTTGCCGGACCTTTTCTGGATTTCTCAGATTGAAACATAAAAGGGCCAGTAGACCAAACTGAGACATTCCATCTTACACACATGTATGTGATCTTCTTTCGTTAAGGATGTTTATCACTCATAGGAAACAAAGCCAAAATGCTTGTTGTGCAAAATGATCCACAGCAGTAGTTGAATGGTGAATTAGAACGTACGAGGTGAAGTCTGTATCCCTAAAAGCTAGGCAAGTCACCTTTATAAATTCTAAACAACTTTGCGACAAATCTTAACCAAAACAAAAGATGCGAAGGTCGTTTACCCCTTTGGAGGTATTAATGTCATAAGACAATAACTGCTCATACACCTACGTCTATCCTTCAGTGAGATAAAAGAACACGGCAACGGCGTTATTCAATTTTTATATACATAGCTCGAATCAAATGCGCCCCACTGACACAACGAACGTGGCCCATTTTAGTTGTAAAAATATATGCGTGTATTAAAATAGCTTGTAACTTGCGTCTTCGCTTCGACTCGAATTATTTCAGCTTCCTTCGGCAGCGGATTCTTCTTTTTTTTAATGAATAAGGACAGCAAATGAGCACACAGTCCATCTGATAGTAAGAGGATGCTGTGGTCCATAGACATTTCATTTGTCCTCGATTAACAATCAAAATGTAGATGCGTTGTCACCCCTGAGCACTAAGATGGATTACCTCGGATCCAGTAAAAAAGTAGGTAAAAAGGTTCTCTACACTCATCATACCAAACACAGTAGCTTAATTTAATTAATTTAGCTGCTATTTGACACTAGTATTCCGTTTCATGCTACAACCATAATATGCATCAGGCTCTACCACGTATACGTAATAAGATAGCAATGTTGACACTACACCCCACCACAAATCCACTGCTGAACATAAGTCTTCCCACAGAATACCACAAAGTACGGTCCTGAGCCACATGCATCCATCGACTGTATTCATGCTTCAACAAGTCGTGACACCATCTATTGAGTGGTCGTCCAACATTACGAGGCTGCCACACGAAAATCTTTCAAAGTCGAAAATCCCCTATTCGGAGTCAATTCTTCGTACTATATGACGTATCCATAGCTTACCACGATACGATGCTATGATGTGGTGATTGCGTGGGGGTATCCATAAGCTCATTTCATAAGAGAATCTTAAGAGGCGACTAGATACCAGATAGCTGGAGTCGTACCATCTGTTTTACATCAGAATACATTGTAGTGTTGTAGTGAGTTCAGAAAGTACCTTGGATTTAAAGAACAACGTTTAAGCATTAAACCTGCTATGCTTCCTATGCTCAGATAGAGAATCCCGATGTATTACAACTAAATTAAGGGCCTATAACCTTATTTCGCGGTGGTGAATAGATACTTCCTGTTACATTCCTAATTTAAAAAAAAAACTTTTCTCTTCGGTGGTTTAATTACTTACCAATTACTTAACAATGTTTTATAGTTAACATAATTGTGTCTGCACTATGCGCCGAGTCTTGTAAGAAGACTGCAAATTTTTTTATAGATTAAAAGTGACTAATGAGCACACAGTCCACCTGGTAAGTGGATGTTTTGCTCCATATACATCTATATCCTCGATTAAGAAACAAAATACAGTTGTGTTTTCACCCCTGAGGTCTAAGATGGAATGCCGTGCATCCAGTAAACAGGGTCTACGTTGAAGAGTTGTCAAAGATCTTAATTGTATCTCGTTCTAAATTTTTATCTCATTTTTAATCTAATTTAACAAAAATGCACTAATGAGTTCTGATATAAAGTTATTCTTGCTTTTATCGCTCCTTAAAAAAAAGAAAGTTCAGATGGTAACTAAAAAATTATCAGCTTTTATTAATCGCCTTTGAATCCAACTGTACAAATTTGCCAACAGTCTATATTGATCTATTTTTGTAACAAATAAAATAACTTTTATTGCTTTAAAACTAAGGCGTGGAGTTGAATGCTGCAGACTGCAAGGTTTGTTGATCACGCCTTATGCTTAGTCCACGCAGAGCAGAGGTCGGCTCGTCCTGATGACATTGTATTAATTGAAAAATGACTTTATGTGCGACCTCTAAACGATCCATTGAACGACTGTGAGACATGCAAACACTGTGAGAACATCTTCACAACGCATGGGAGCCAAATGAAACAAGCCTTTCGCCATTCAGATATATATTTATTGATCAATTAAAATCATAGAGAATAAAACAAAACACTCATATATTCAAAATCTAATAAACAGATTGCATAATCAGAATTTTTCACACCAAAAAAACTAGAATGCAACCCCCGGGTAATTGCCATGCAGATAAACTAAAACTCGAATTTAAGTGCATTTAAATTTTAACCCAAAATCAAGTTTTATACAGCAAGGCGTACGACAATTGACAATTCATCTAATTAGTGGTGATAATTACATAAATCTCAAAAAAATTGTTGAAGTAAACATTTCATAATCATTGTAATATATATTATATTCAATCAAATAACATAAAATAATACAAGTCAACGCAACTAAATGTCTAGAAACTTTAACAAAATGAAAAGACAAAAACTATTAAACATTAAGTGATGTAACGTCATGCACACTCGCGAGTTGGGATTGTAAAATAAAAAAGTCATGCGTTAGAATGTTTAGTATTGGTTAGTCAACATTATTCAAAATAAGTTTCAATAGAAATACCTTAATATAATACAGAAAAATCTTAACAATGTACAAACTATTCAGTCTTGAATCAGTCAGGATTCCAGAGAAAAATGAAAAAACGTAATAATGAGTTCCTTAGTTGTTTAACTCTTTAACAGGGCGTATCGTTTTGACAATTTCCTCTGGAGCCTTAAAAACTACAGATAATCTAATTGGGAACAACATGGTAAGAATAAATCTGTGTTACAAGCAGAAATAACTTCTCCTAAGAACTACAGGAGTTGCAGTAAAAATAATCACGGGTACAAGAGGTGGTCGAGATGGAATCAAAAAATATAAACCCTGTGATATATCATCACTGCATTCCTCGTGCAGTTCCAAATGTTTTAGGACTGAGTAAATAAAAAAAATATATATTTTAAATTGTAACACAGATTAGCTTATCTCTTAAATCTAGCATGGCGAACCGGGACAAACGAAGTGGATGGTCTTCAAGTTGGCCCAGCATTAAATGTGCCGCTTTGTATCTGCAACAAAAAAAAATTACCACACATTAAAAAGGCTACGAAAACAGTCATATACTGGATGACCTTTTTTACCACCTAGAAAAAAATGATGTGTAACATGTGAACGTAGTAGAAGCCTAGGGCAAATAAATAAATAAATTAAAACCTATCGAAATTCAAATTATATTCACCCTAACTTATGCAAGCCAAAAAAAATTTTTGTAGGCATCTTTCAACTTGTCACTTCGCAGGGTCACATGCTCAAGGGCAATGGGCAAATTGTTAAAAAAAATTTCAAACGTGTAATTCAAAATTTTTGTTTTTATTTTTTTGTAAAATATCAGTGCCATAGCCTTTTACTCCGTTCACATGTTACACCCTATTTTTTTCCAGACCGTAAAAAAGGTCACCAGTATTAAAGATAATGTTACAAAAATAAGTAATCATCAGTAACATCAAGTACCTTCTATATAGAGCAGCAAAACTAAGGACAAAGGGATGTATTAAGGCGACACAGTATTCCAACGTCATTTCTTTCAATGGGAAGTTCGGTACTGATGACGCACCGTGCAATGCTAACACTTCCAAATCCATTGTTATTATTGACAAAAAATCGTTTCAAGATGAAGTGACGTGGACCGGCGCAATGGGCACTCCAGTTTCAATTTGATGTCATGAAACTGTAACGAATCAGCTTAAGGGTTTTCATTGGGGGGCGGGAAGATTAATTCATTTGGCATGACTCTGCGGTTTTATTTTGCGGTTCATAGATAGAGTGATTGAAATATCTCATGGCCGCTATTCGTATTCATGAATTTGGTGCCTGTTTCTTTGAATTATTCAGATTTCTCTTAGGCATCGTTCATCCATTGTTATATTAGTAAAAGTGAAGGACGGCGTTTTGAATACTATTTATTACACAGAAGAATATCGTGTATTGTAACAGTGTTATATGTTATTTTCGGAAATATAAACGTCCTTAATGTTTTAGATTAAATTCCTAAATCATAAATAGTGATAATTGTAGTTTTTGGTAATATCAAATATAACACTGATCAACTATAATACAATCGGTAAAAAATCTAACGCCGTCTTATAAAGTCTACGCATGACGTTTTAAATGAGAATAAGAAACTATCTTTCAAAATATAATGTAGTTTATTGCTAAAAGTACTCCGATCAGAACAAACAATGAACGTATAAATAACGAAACAAAGGAGTTTATATAATAATTCTTAAAGCGCGCTGTTTCCTGGAAAAAACGAGGAGTTATCAGAATGAGTATAGCGAACGTTATCAATCAATTTTGTCATGGCCTCGATTTCGCCTACTCCTCGCCGTATCACTAACATTTACACCATTTCTTAATCCCACGAATGAAGACCACTGCTACTTGACCTGCCATTCTATTCACTTTCTTACAAAAACAAGTTCATCGGTCATTGTCGGAACAACCAATATATCGAGTCATATAATTGGTCGGATTCAAACGTCCGTATCTGAAGGCCCGCGGTAATGGAGACCCAGCCATTGCCAATAATATTCCTTTCTTCGGTTGCAACTTTAGTTGATACGAATTTAACATCGGCGGCAACCTAAATTGCTATGAAAATAGAGTTTCCTATAATACCTTGGTTATGTCAATAATTTATTGCATCAACTTTAATCTAAGTAATTTCATTTACACAGACGACTAGAAAGAAACGAAGGAAGGACTAGTTCCTTGAATTTACGATTTGAATTTAGGTTTATATAAGTCTATATTATTTTTGCCTTCGCGACAGTTCTTTATGAACGAGCTGAGAGCCGCTACATGGATTCGTGAATTCCTATAACTTTCAAATTATTTGATATATCGTGATCAAACAAGGAACAAGGTTATATTATTTACAATCTAATGTCAAAAATTTTCATCCATAGATTAATAAAAATAATAATATAATATTTGATATGATAAATATTGTAAATATTATATATATTTATAATATTTACCATATCAAATATTATATTATAGATAAATATGATAAATATTTGATTATGTCTTACTACAACTTTTAGATTTGTAAGTCTTACTACTCTTGTAACACACGGTATATTTATAGTATTTCAGGTTAAGGATATTTTAACGTGATTATTTCCAGTCATTTCTATTGCCGGAAATTCCACTTTTTTCAATTTTTAAATATGGGAAACAATATGATGGCGAAGTATTGTCTTATGCTGCCACGTTATGGCATCACATACGTTTATTTAATTTTAGCTGTTATCCCACATAATGAACGAGATATGTCTTAAATCTATACAAGTGTATAAAAAATTAAGATATCTCTTTGTTATATCGAAAAAACTGCCTTTTATCGATAACAGGCGGTTATTTGAATGCCGTTAATACATGAAAAACCGTACTTAAAATTTTTGACCGACTCCACTCTCCACTCTCCGGGCTACTTCCACGACATGACTAAACCGATTGTGATGAAAATTCACGATAAGATAGGGAGCAATGCCCGGAGTTAATCTAGGTTATATTAACCGAAAAACTTTTTGCTGCATTTGTTAAAAACGCTGCAATTGATAATATAAATGGTTATTGGTGATTATTTTAACCCTTTCGCTGCCCCTTGTACTACATATAGTGGATTGGTATAGTCTTACTATTATGTCTGAACATCGGACTCCGTGAAAGTGTTCAAAAATCTAAATGACACCATATAAATAGATCCCGCCCACTCAGGAGATATCACGGCTCAATAGTACAAAATAAAAACTGGTTAAATAATATTTAAACTTCATAAATACGAACTAGCGATTCGTACATCGTATCCTGTAGAGCGGAACGGACGTGGCGTTCAATCCTGTTACAACGCCGTATCAGGTGAAAGAATCGGCGATTTAAATTTTGTTCGGCGTTTAATTTTTTCACATATAAAAAACACTTTAAATCTCGGTTGAAAGGATCGGCGAAGCGTACAGCATTCCCAAATTGTTAATTTACAGTAATAAAATTTTTCTCATGGTTAACCTTTTCTCTTTGCCTAAGGGTTTTTTTATAAGACTGAAGTGAAAAACGAACCCACAATCTACCTAACGCCCAGTGGCTCCTGTAGTACATGGAAACCTGCAACAAACTTCATACAAAGAAGTGTAGCCCTTGTATGTTTTTTAATTTAATTTTTTATAGAATAAGGGTGACAAACGAGCACACAGTCCATCTGATGGTAAGTGGATGGTGTAGCCCATAAATATTTATCCTCAATTAAGAATCAAAATGCAGATGCGTTGTCACTCTTGAGGACTAAGATGGAATATCACGTTTTCAGTAAAAAGAGTTTCCGGTTCTCGCATACACCATATGAAACAGCAGCGTTGAGATGCTATTTTCCGCTGGTATTTTTTGAAAGCGTAGTTTTTGTTCAAACTGACCAATTCGTGCTACAACCATATAGCTGAAGCGTGGCTCTACCACGTGTAAAAATGTATGTTGATATGAGATGCGTTGTCACCTCTGAGGAATATGGAACTCAAAACACCCTTCAGATCAGAACAGACAATGTAAGCATTTAATGTGTCTACAGCTCGAGATGTTACTAGACAGATAAACAAACGCTACAGCATTCAATTACGTACGTCTGCATGTCAACATTTTCATGTAGAAAGTTATTGGTTATATATTACGACGTAATATGATTGCTCCTGTGTACTGCAACCGACAATTTGTCCGATCTAACTGTATAAGCGCTACAAAGGACTCGAACATTCGCATATATTTGCACCACCTTTTACACAATTATCGTGGTAGTTTTCATCAGTCAAATTGTGTTCTCTTGGTGGTGGTGGTTGGAAGAGGCTTTTTAGAGGCCAATTTGGCCTCTAAAAAGCCTCTTCCAAGTGACTACGAAACTACACGTTACTCGATATGTCGACGCCGAGGATTCCGATACTGGTTAAGACAACAAGTGGAGTGCCTTGAAACTGATGAGATACGACGAAGGGGTTCTTTTAAGCGATAAACACGCAAACTTGTGTCTTTTGGGAATTGAACTTGACTAGATTTAGTCGCCCTAAGTCTCGAATTCAGACAATTTTGTTCCGGTACTCGATGACGTTTTCCCGAGAAATATTGGCACGGCTGATGATAAAGCATGTGCTATCGTCCACATACCAATGAATATTAGCGGTTTGCAACATTAAGGTATGTAATCATTGATAGAGATAGAGTTTTTTTTATATAGGATAGGGTGACAAACGAACACACAGTTCACCTGATGGTGATTGCTGTGGCCCATAGACATCTACATCTATCATCGATCACGAATCAAAATGCATATGCGTTATCACCCGTTAGGACTAAGATGGAGATTACTGCTGATGTTTCACAAAGCTACGTGCTATCACATTTTTGTACGTGGTAGAGCCTTGCTACAGATATATTACTGGTATAGTTGTAGCGCAAACGGGTCAGCTCTATCTGGGCAGGACCACGCTCTCACTTCTGAGCGGCGGTGTGAAATAGCAGCTTAACGCTGCTATGTTCTTACGGTGAGTGTAGAGAACTGGAGGCCCGTTTTACTGAAAACGAGGTATTCAATCTTAATCCTAACGAGTGACACGGATAATCGAGGATGGATGTGGATGTCTATGGGCCACAGCACCTACTTAATATCATGTGGATTGTGAGCTCGTTTGTCACTCTTTAAATACATTTTTAAATTAAATATTTAAAAAAAAAATAAAAAAAAAAAAAAAAAAAAATTTTTTATTTATTATGATTACGTTCATACTGCCAATATGAAACACAACAATATTCTGTGGAATGAATGACAAGGCAGAAAAGGCGTCAATTTGTATATAATTTGAATATTAGATTTTTGCACTTTATTTTTTATTATTGGGCATTTGAAAATGAAAATACAGCTTACTTAATATAAAATTTTAAAAATTGATTGAGTTACGGTGGAATTTCGTCAATCAACCGACCACTAGTATTATTTTAATTTTATATAAAATATTTTGTCTTTTGTTGCCGTCGTATTTCGATAAGCCAATCTAAAATTAAAATGTTATTGTTAAATTCCAGACAAACTTCGTAATCTCCTAATTGAAATATAGTAACAGCGACCTGGTAACATGGTAAACCAACTGTAGAGCGCCAACTGAATAAACTGTTTTCGTCAGGCCTTAGCGCCTCTTCTGCTTACGGCACACTTAGCAATTGAACTGTAGTGATGACATTTCTATAGGTTGAATTATTTAATAATGATCTCTCATGATGTCCTAATAATGATCTCAATGATAAAATTATACCCTATTTGTAAATTATTATTTATGCGGAAACCCTAGCGTAAATGGCGTAAGAGCATTAATTGTTCAAAATATTGACCGACGTCATTCGTATCGATATATAAAGCTACCCAATGTGACCCTGGCTTATCATCTGTATCCAAATTGCAATTTATATACGTTAATTGCATATTATATACGTTGATACGTGGGTGTACATGGGCAGTCTATTGGCAGCATAAACATTATTTTCTAGACTGGGGTGAATCTTTTTCAGATGTTGTTGTACATCTAGTGTATCCATGATATTACTGCTATTAGTAGATTATTACAGTACAATCTACTCAATGACTAACATAGGAATGATGCGTTGAAGTAACACAAATGTAGTATTGATAGATCCGCTGCGGTCAAACGACCATACACTAACTCCATGACTGCACTTGCTTGGTCTTATATAGTACCAGTAAGTAATAATTCTAATCTAACGAATTTCTGCAGTGGAATTGATAGTAACTTTATGCGTCAACAACCTTATCTCACATTTTGTTGCTTATCTCAACATTACTTCGTGTCGCGTCTTGTTCAGTGTATTGATGACTCAAATACGTTTTGTATAACACAAAATAATGCAATTTAATATTTAGAAATCACTATAATTGATCATTCCTATATTAGTCATTGAGTAGATTGTACTGTAATAATCTACTAATAGCAGTAATATCATGGATACACTAGATGTACAACAACATCTGAAAAAGATTCATCCCAGTCTAGAAAATAATGTTTATGCTGCCAATAGACTGCCCATGTACACCCACGTGCCAACGTATATAATATGCAATTTGGATACAGATGATAAACCAGGGTCACATTGGGTAGCTTTATATATCGATACGAATGACGTCGGTCAATATTTTGATTCATACGGACGAGCACCTGTACGATATCATCTAGAGTTTTTAAAAAGGAATTGTAAAAGATGGAACTGGAATGTTGATAGGATTCAGAATGAGTGGACTTCAGTTTGTGGCGAATATTGCTTAATGTATTTGCTATATAAGTTTCAGGGATGTTCAATGCATAGTTTTACGAGTATATTTACAGGGAACACATTGTACAACGATATTTTAGTGGATGAGACGTTTCGCTCCTATTTTATAGATAATAAGTAATAAGATTTTGTATTTCGTAAATAAAAATTGTAACAAAATTAGGTAATGTATTTTATTGATGATTCAGATTACCGTTGCAGTTGCAGGAACAAAGGAGTATAATATAATAGCACTGATAATCCGACGCACGAATAGACAATGAAGGTATTCAATGAACAATAGATAAATAACAATGGGGCGCTAATGACGGTGGAGGCCCTCATCGGATATCAATTAGATAAGAGTTAATTGATCTGCACATCTCCGGAACCGTGCATCCTACGCAAAAACGGACCGCAGATTCGTGATCAGAGCATGCCAAAACCTTTTTATTTTAGGATCGTGAGTCGACGGACGTCGTACTTGTACCACTTCTGACTCAGTGAGCCAGAACTGGTACTAACTAACTACCGCGATATATTGTCATAGTTGACACGCTTAGCGAAAGGGTTGGCAACGGCAGGTTTTTATTATTCAATTGCTGTTATCAGAAAGATGCTGCTGCCCATCTCCTGGTTGTTTCCCTCTGACACTTTTTATAACACCCAAGGGATGATATAGGGTAGTGGATATTCTTAACCGCCACTACACGGCCGTACATATTATTTATGCCAAAAGTAAAGTATATAAAGGAACGGCAGACTATTACGAAGGCTCGCAGTCTGCCAAGCGTGGGGGTGAAAGGCAAATTTTTGGGATCGCGAGAGGTCCAACAGTGACTTATGATTTTTGATCAACCGTCAAAAGCAAGTTCATCGGAAGATTAAACAATTATTAGTCTTCTGACCACATTTTTCAACAACATTGTTTTTAATCATTAAAAAAATATAACTCCTCCGTTTTGAATAGATTTCTTAGTTAAATTTACGTCAAATTGATTTATAAACGAAACTCCAGTAGAGCACTTTGAATTAGGAGAGAGCGGAATTGGGTGGTGGAACTATTTTACTGCTTTGGAATCCGTCCGGGTGGGCATCCTGTGGGTATCTATTTCTGTTGCCAAATATCAGTGTTTGTGCTGTAGACGTAATAAAGGCTGCGAAGCATTCCGTCTTAGTCCTCGGAAGTTAAAAGAACCTGTAGCCTGCTTCGTTCGAAGTTGGTCAAATGTCAATGGACTGCAGTAGCCACTTACCATCGAGTGGACGGTAAGATCGTTATTCAACTAAGTTTTTTAAAAAGTAATTAAAAACATACCAGCTTTTTACATAGTACAACCAGTTCTGTTACGGTTGTAACATGAACCGGGGAAGGACTATGCTCTCACAGAATACCAGCTTGACATAGCAGCTTAATGCTACTGTGATTCGTATGGTGAGTGTCTTGATAATACCCTTCTTACAGGAAACTAGGCATTCCATCTTAGTCGTCAGCGGTGACAACACATCTGCATTTAGTTTCTTAGTCAAGGATAGGTGTAGATGTCGATGGACCACAGTATACACATACCATCAGGTGGGCTCATTTCTCGTTAGTCACCTTTATGCTATTAAAAAAACCAGTAGTGCCGTTAAAACTACTAATGCTTCCGTTAACCACTTCTACATAATAAATTCGCCTTGAATTTATTATCTATAAAAGTCTTTCAAAGGCAAAAGGATTGGCAACCGTTTAGCAAGAAACCTAATATGGATTCACAATATAGTAAATGAAAGAAGTATTCCTTTCCCGAGGAGGGACCCCACGGGGCCGTAAGCTCTGGTGGGGCCGCGGATGTGTGCGAAAGCGTTCCCGTGGCCCTACTAATATGCGACGAAGATAGAAAACTATGGTGTTTTAGTCGGCGCGAGTCTGACACAACCCGTTCTTGCCCCCGCGAGGCAAGTATGCGTAGGCATTTCCCACGTAAAACAAAAAAAAAGACGAGAGGAGAATTCGTATTAACTTTTTAGTTTTGCAATAAAGTTTACAAAATTTAAAATTCATGCCTTTAAACAAATGGTAACACAAATGTGTATTTTTCTAATCAGTCAAAATATATCAGCAGTGGCCCCGTAATTATATGGCATTGACTTCTTATCGCGTTACAAATCCACATAGTTGTCCTCCACGAAAGAGCGACCTAATGGCAATGGAATAAGAGTCTTTTTAATTTTTGATGAAGCCGCGTCGGTCTCTAACTATAGCTTCAACGTAGATATTGAAGGCATCACGGATATCTCAAGGCGATCTAAAACCGGCGCTACCGTATGGCCTCCGATATCGCTGTCCAACTAATCGAACGACTAATCGTCCGATAAATCAATCCATTACATGGCGATAGACGGCTTATCAGGGGCCTAAATATATCAAAATTCAAAACCCATACACGGTTTATCCCTTCGATGTACTTACTTACCAACTAGCTGTAATGATTAGGATTAGGTAAGTAATACTTCCAATAAAGCTTTATTAGTGTTCTGCTGGCATACAAGGAATCCTTATAATTTTGTTGTCAGTCTACCCTCATTTGTAACAATATCACTATTTCAGCTTTAGTTCTATTTATCAACAAATACTGCGTTAATGACTCCGCTAGAACAGAAAAGGAAAGAATACCAGCGAAAAGTAGCAGCATAAGGGCCGATCCTCATTTGCCGTATGCTCAATTATCTATATTTTTCGCAAATTATATACATTTTGCTCTCTTTTTGACGTAGTATACATAGACGTGGCCATTTTTGAAACATCTTTTGTTTCTTAAATAGAATTTTAAAGCAACAGTAGCCTTAATGGCAGGGTGCGGACCACGAACTCAAAAGGTCGTGGGTTCGAATCCGCCATTCGACTACTATCGTGAACCACTCCTAACACAAGTATTTTGAAGCTTAACAGGAGTGGTTAAAGGGAATATTAGTCATGTCAATAGCATTACTAGCATTTTTATTTAAAAAACAACGACAGATGCATAAACAAAGATACATACAGTAGGTAAGTGTTACTAGGTGGTAGAACTTCGTTTCTGTTTAGAAGTCCGTCTGGTCTCTATTATCTATTTTTGTCGTTTAATAGCAGTGATTGCATTGCAGCGTTCCGATTTGAAGGGTACACAGTACACATTCCATCGTAGTCCTCAGGGGTGAAAAGAATCCATAGCCTTCTTTGTTTGTAGTTGTAGTTGGCTGCAGGTGTACATGATCTGCAGTATGATAAATGATGGTATCTTTGGGCCATATTTTATTTTCTTCATCATTGTTTTAAGTCAACGGCTGGATGAAAAGGGAATCGCCACCGTTTCCACGTTTTAGGAAGGATAAACGCTGATCGCCACGCTTGGAAGGCAAATTGACAATCGCAGTAGAAGACGGCTCGCATCCTTGACGCTGCTTTCTATCGCTAGACTTGGTGTTTCACGTCTCGGATAAACGTAATAGTTATAACGTCATAAATTTACAACCATAAGATTTTTTTTGACATTTCCTAGTCTCAATTATTTTATATAAAAATTTTTTTTTGCACAGAAATCGGTTCCGACCGTGCTTTGAGCCAAGTAAATACTGTCAAAAGAATCAAAATACTTGAGGTAAGCTATTAACTTAAGCCTTTGAATCTGACCTCACTACCAAATAAGAGAAGGTTATACATCTGATACTACTTACCGTTGCTGCAAGTGGTGAAAGTAACGAGGCTGATGATGCCATGGCAGTACCTGGAAAATTTTAAAATAAGAATATGTTAATGATTTCTTACGTTTACTCGAATATTCTGTATGTAGTTTTTGTTTGTTTTGTTTAACTAACTAGTTACAATGTATGTATCTTCAAGGCAAGAGTGAATATCTTTACATCATTGGCTGCATCGCGGACTTACCAGTAGGTGGGATATTATTCAAGTACTAGCTTATCATAGTTAGAAAAAACCTAAATGCGTCATTCCTACAGAACACAAAAAAATGTGAAAAATGTTTTGTAATCTGTGGTCGTTTCACAAGAATCGTGCAAGAAAACTGGATGAAAAATATTATTCCGTTAGTTGTAAACAAAAAAACAATAAATTATAAGAGCATAATAATAACTGCACATAATTTAATAATGTAAAATACAAATTCATTACATTATTTTTCTAAAGAATAATTGCTATCTCGGTCACCGAGTCCTTCTGAAGGTATATATAGTATATATTGTATATGCACAAACCGCAGTACTGCACTTAAATAGGGTTGCAACCTGTTTAGTAGTTCGCACGTAGTATTTACAGCAATATAGTCGATTGACTGTCACCTTCATCATCAGCCCATAAAAGTTCATTGCGAACATGAGTCTTACCCACTGTAGGGCACATTTTATTTCTTTATTTTTTATTATAACAGAACCAACAGCATTTTGTAACATTATAATTTATAATATTAGTAAGTATTTACATTTTCTACTGCCAATTACAGGAAACTTTAACTTTTTTACTTGGAAATAATATTATGCAGAGTTATTTTTAAAGAGTAGTCATTACGCCATTACGCATTTTACAAAATACAGTGCATATATGTACCTCTACTAGTGTTTTGTTTCGTAAATATTTATTTCAGTGTGTGTGTGGTGTGTGTTTGTGTGTGTGATTTTGAGTGAGATGTAGGTCATGAAGTGTTTGTAGTGCAGTTTAGGTAATGTAGGGAAGGATGTGAAAGAGGTGTGGAATGTTTAAATGTTTTTTTTTTATTACTTGATATTTCTTAAAATTGAGATTATTTCTTTTTTTATGGAAGCTTTACTGTCGTGGAAAATATCAATAGTTGAAAAGTTTTTGTTATAGCAGTTAAGTGTACGACTAATGACAGAATTTTGAGCATATTTAGAGCGACTTAAAGGGACATGAAATAGGGATGTGTGTCTGGTACGCTTCGAAGGAGCATTGAATTGTAGGAATTGAAATGTCAATTCGGGACTATCAATTTTATTACTACAGATGTCGTGTAGAAACAAAATTTGTAGAAGTGTACGTCGGTCGTTTAACTGCAATAAGTTATGGTGATAGCAATATTCCTCATAACTGCTTTTTTATGTTGAGTACGATAATTTAACGCCTTAATAAATTTACATTGTATTTGCTCTATATTCTCTATATAAGACAAATAATGCGGATTCCAAACATTACAAGAATACTCCAAAACACTTCTTACATAAGTATAATACAAAATTTTAATGCATTTAGAATCTGAGAAAGGACGGGACACTCTTAGAACAAATCCTCAATTTTTATACGCTTTTGCAACCATTGTCGTGAAATGATTACTGTAGGGCACATTTTTTTATAGAAATAAGGGTGACAAAAGAGCACACAGTAAGTGGGTGATGTGACCTGTAGATTAGGTATCTACAGGTCACATCATCACGTCTAACCTTCATTAAAAATGCATCGTTGCTGTTGTTGGAGCCACGCTCAGCTACATTGTGGTTGTAGCACGAATGGGTCGGCTCCGAAGAACCACGATCCCACAGAATACTAGCGTAAAATAACTGCTGCTGTGCTTTGTGAATGTAGAGAACCGGAGACCCTTTTTAACTAGAAATGATGCATTTTAATTCAGTCCTCAGGGGTGACAAGGCATTTGCATTTTTATCCGTAACTGAGGACAGATATAGATGTCTTTGGCCATAGTATCCACTTACCATCAGATGGACTGTGTGTTTCTTACCCTAATGCTATATAGAAAAGGTGTTATAAATCATAATAATATTAAAAAGTGTGGATGAGTACCCGTGCTTTACATTTCCAATTGAATAAAAAAATGTAAAACGCATAGCCTTACGCAAAATGATTGGTAGCCCTACGCGAAAGGAATGCGAAGTACATCGCGAAATCAATAAAATACGATCCTCAAACGCCAGTACGGACTACGGACGCAGAGCGCAGAGCCATTCATTAAACATAACCACAGGGCGCGCACACTAGAGCCCAGACCGCATTGCATCAGGCACGGCGCCATTCACACAGCGACACCACGCTAGTACGCCGGAGTACTACTATAAACGGCGTAATATTTTCCAACCTATATAGAACTAAGTTAAAACGCAACGAATAACAAAACCTATTGACATGGACGTATAATTCAAAGCAACTTTACAGCTCACAAATATGGCTCCATCATAGAAAATGCAGCTCTATCTTTAAAACTCGACATCTGATAAAGTAATGCAAATGTGTTGACATAGGCCGTTATGATAATTTGAGACTGTCGAGTTGTCTGCGGTGTCAGACGCTCCTATTTTTAGATATTATAAAAAGATCGCGGTTGCCGAGTGCACTTAGTGCGACTGTGTGAAACTGTCTGTACAGTACATTATTTTTTATTATGTCTTTATAAAGCGGGCAAATCTAGGCGCGCCTGAGCAATAGGTGTATAATCTTACCGAGCCGAAGGTCGATGATTGTAGGTCCCTGAAACGGTCAATTGCAAAGGATGATGTGATTAGAGATTTCAAATGAAAGGTGTACGTATCGTTTGCGCACGCTTCAACCGCTACTCTGTGTTTTAGGAAGTCGGGTACGTCACTTGTAAATATTTTTATTAAAACGCAGATATGGCATTTCTTTCAAAAAAACTATTGTAGTTTGCTATCATTGCACGTCGATGCACGGTGCAACAATTGCCTCGGTCAAATTTTTTGTCATTTGCCGTCAATGCCGTAACAAGAATAACAATCACTTCAATAGAATAAAGAAAATTATCAATGAGTGTCATTCAAGTAAATATATATACTATATTATAAATCAGACCATTTTATAATTGACCGTTTCCTCAACGTATTGGGCAATGTACACCTACTCCGAACATTTATACGCAACAAAACTACGCTGCACTGTACCTACTACAGCGCATAAGCCTCCTCACAGATTCATTCTTACGGGGAATATTTGCCATAGTTGCCACGCTTGCCAAGCGGGTTGGCAACCGCAGTTTTTTTTTTAATTTGTAATTATTACTAGAATAAACTTAGAAATGAGGATATCCACAGTAAAACCAGAGTGACCGACATAGCTAGCTATAGGATTAGTAAGCTGAAGTGGCAATGGGCCGGCCATATAGCTCGAAGAACCGACAACTCTTGGGAAAAAAAGTTCTCGAGTGGCAGCCTCGTACCGGTAGGCGAAGTGTAGGGCGATCCTCCACTAAATGGCGTGACGACCTGGTAATACATGCAGGAAGTCGATGGATGCAGGTGGCTCAGGACCGTGCTTGTGGCATACCTTGGGGGAGACCTATGTTTAGTGACTTGTGAAGAGCTGTAATGATGATGATGATGGCGCTGTTGTCCACTTTCTGGTTTCTATCTGCCGCCTCTTAGGACACCCACGGGAAGATATGGAGTAATGGACATTGCTAAACCGTCACTATACGATCAAAGCAAGAATATATCAAGGAATTCCTTTTCTGTCTACGAATGCGTCTGGTTATGTACTATCTTCTTATTTTTAAAAGAATACAAATGGCGGACTCAATGCTTTTGGAGATTCTCTATCAGTCAATTGTTCCGGCAAATAGCAATGCTCTGCACTCTGAAAACTTATACAGAGACAGTATAACTACAGGCTATGAGGCGTTTCACTGTCAGACCTCAGAGTAGACTTTTTTATACTGTGTAGAGCCACGCTGCAGCTGTATTATGGTTGTAGCACGAGTGGGTCGGCTCGACCGGGGAAGGACCGCGCTCTCACAGAATACCAGCGTTAAATAGCAGCTTAATGCTGCTGTGTTTCGTACGGTACGGGTGACAGCGCATCTGCATTTTGATTCGTAATCGAGGATAGATGTAGATGTCTACGGGCCACAGCAACCACTTACCATCAGATGGACTGTGTGCTCGTTTGTCACCCTTATCCTATAAAAATATTCAAATAACAATAAACTTGGGTTGCCAATCCGCCTGCCAAACGTGGCAACTATGGCAAATTTCCCCATACAATGCAATTTATGTGAGGTTTATTAGAACAAAACCCTCATCAACCCTCGCCAACGTCGCAAGACGTCGCGGCCTACATTTAGGGAAGTTGCGCAAGCACTCACGGCGCCGACTCCTGATAAGGAGATATCACTATCATTAACCAGAATGGAGGGGCTCCGTTATATGTTCACATAGCAACTACTAGTAACCCGAGCTCTTAGCTCGAGTTACATTGATCAAGAATCTACGTTTATACAAATCAAGCACACTTAGCAAGGATTTTAGGCAATAAGTGATGGGACTTCTGCTAGGCTCCTGCGTCCTAGGTACACCTTTTCTGGAGGAGTCTGCCTGGGTTCGTACCTGTGTAGGAACTTTTTAGGTAAAATTTGTTTCTGTTGCCAAATAGCAGTTCTTACACTGCTGTGTTTCAGTTTGAAGGATGTAGAGCCATTATAAATACAAGATAAGAGGCGTTACACCTCAGATCTCAGGGGTGACCAGCAACTGTCCTACATATATATAAAATCTAGCTTTCTTTGTTAGTGACAGGTGTCCATTGACGTAGCAGCATATAATTAAGTGGTCTGTAGGTTAGTTTTTTACTTCGGTTTTATGAGAAAAATAAGAAAAAATGATATTCTGAAGACGTGAAGTTCACTGACATGCTGCTTGGGGGCAGCGCAGCGGACATTTCTTTGCCATAAAACTATATTGGCCGTAACTTTAACTTTTTATGAGAAATATTTTTTTTAACAATATAGATATAAAA